TGTATTTTGCTTTTCTTGTATTGGCCATGTAAGACTTTGCCTTGCAATGTCCTTTTTCTATTCTTCATTTAATTTTTTTGTAGGCCCGTTTGGTCTTTCCTAGACTCAGTTAGCCTTCCTGGTGTACTAGCTTAAGTGCATCTTTTTCACTGTCCTTCAGGCATTCTTCCAATGCCCTTTTTTATTCTTCAACTATCTGGTATACTTGCAACATTCCACACTTGCTGGTGCTTGGTAAGTAGAAGGGCATAAATCATTTTTTACTATTTTGTCTGGTCTCCCTATTCAGGGCTTTTCGTTCTGCTTGAGTGCAGTCCACTGCTGTAGCTGTATCTAATGACTGGAATTCTCCAAGTATTAATTGCCTTGGTGGTATTTCTTCTTCTGAGTTTGGACTTTAAAATCTTCACTCTCATGATGTACCGTATTTTCCGGCGTATTAGATGACTTTTTAACACATGAAAATCTTCTCAAAAGTCGGGGGTCGTACTATACACCGGGTGTCGTTCTCCTGTAACCAGGCAGACCAGCCCGAAAGGCTCTGACGAGCCTTAAATGGCTCTAGCGATCCCAGCTCTGACGATCCCAGCTCTGACAATCCCAGCTGAGTTCCCTGCAACTCAGCTTGGATCGCCAGAGCCATGTAAAAGGAAAAAGTTTTTTCCCTTTTACATGGCTCTGACAATCCCAGCTCTGATGATCCCAGCTCTGACGATCCCAGCTGAGTTGCCTGCAACTCAGCTGGGATCGCCAGAGCCACGTAAAAGTTTTTTTCTTTTTACATGGCTCTGGCGATCCCAGCTCTGACGATCCCAGCTGAGTTGCCTGCAACTCACCTTGGATCGCCAGAGCCTTGTAAAGGAAAAAAGTTTTCCCCCTCCAGCTTGCTTACCTTAGCTGCTAGTCGCAACGCTTGCCTTGCTTCGCTTGCCTGAATCCATTCCATCAGCAAGCAACTCCCTTCCTGCAATCAAGCAAGCAGGGAGTTGTGGACTTCAACTCCCAGAATTCCTCAGCCAGCAAAGCAAAGCTGGCTGAGGAATTCTGGGAGTTGAAGTCTACAAGTCTTAAAGTTGCCAAGGTTGGAGACCCCTGTTCTATTGGGTAAGTTTTTTCCCCCTTTGGGAGCTTTAAAAAAATAGTCAATTGGTTTTTTTTTTAATTGTTCTTTTTTAGACCTAGCCATTTAAAGTTTAGGAAGTTTTAAATTTAGCTTTCATATAAAAATAAAAATAAAATAAAATAAAATAATATTTGTGCAGCTTTCTGAGATTTAGTGTGTTTCTGTAGTGTTTCACTCTAACTACACAAACACACAAAATCTCACAAAGCTGTATGTGGAATTTTGTGTGTGTGAAGTGTGAAAGTTGGTTTTTTGGACTTTTTGTGGCTGTGTGAGGTTCCTGCTTGTTGCAGGGGCCATTTTGGGTCTAGCACAGCTGCTTTTACATTGTGGGTGAGCCAGTTGTGTTGTGTTGTGTGTGTGTAAAGTGTGAAAGTTTTTTGGGGGGGGGCTTTTTGTGGCTGTGTGAGGTTTCTGCTTGTTGTAGGGGCCATTTTGGGTCTAGCACAGCTGCTTTTACATTGTGGGTGAGCCAGTTGATGTTTTTTAATTTTTATTTGGTGTGCATTGGAAGAGGGGTAGTCTTATACGACGAGTATAGCCCAAACCCTATATTTTAACAGGAAAAGTTGGGGGTCGTCTTATACGTCCAGTCGTCTTATACATCGGAAAATACGGTATTCAGTTCTAACATTCTTCTTGACTTCATTGTGCTTGATGTTTTTAGCTTGAAATATTCCCATGTATTTGTAGTGATCTTCATCCATGCTCTTCATGGTATTTCCAGTGGTGGGATTCTGCCGGTTCTAGGAGGTTCGGCTGAACCCTTTGTTAAATTGCTGGCTCGCCCCACCCCTTGCCCCGCCCCTCCGCACTACTATTTATTGCCAATAAATGGGGCAAGCGAGCCAGCAATTTAACAAACGGTTCGGTGTTTTTTTGTAATTTATTGGCCCCGCAGCACACCGAACCATTTGTTAAATTGCTGGCTCGCCCGCCCGTTGCTGCCTCCCACCCACGCGGCGCCAGCCTACTGTAGCCAGGGGTAGGCAATTGTGGCTCTTTTACAACCTGTGGACTTCAACTTCCAGAATTCCTGAGACAGCTTGGCTGTCTCAGGAATTCTGGGAGTTGAAGGCCACAGGTTGTAAAAGAGCCACAATTGTCCACCCCTTCCCTAGCCTAAGTTCTGCTGCCTGGGATCCACATGGGCTGCCACGTGGTTCCCCACCGGCTCCGGACGCAAGAGAGCAGGATGGAGAAAGCAGCTTCCACGCCTTCACTCACCCTCTCTGCTCTGTTGGATCGCCGGCCGTTCGCTTACCTCGCCCACTCCCAATCTATTGCTGCCTCCGGAGTCCCAGCTGATGGCTAGAGGAAAAAAAACTTCAAATTCTTGCCGCGGGGCTTCAAAGGGCTGCCCTATAGCCAGTGGTGCAGCCGAACTGTTTGTTAAATTGCTGGCTTGCCCCACCCCTCCGCACCACTATTTATTGCCAATAAATAGTGGTGGGCGAGGGGCGGGTGAGCCAGCAATTTAACAAAGGGTTCGGTGTTTTTTTGTAATTTTATTGGCCCGCGGAGCTTCAGCATAGGCTAATTAGCCCTTGCTTAGATCGGCTCCCGAGTCTCAGCTGATTTGTCTCAGCTGTTTTGCTCAGGGCTCTGCTGCTTGCTGGAGCAATTTTTTTTCCCCCTAGCTATCCTGAAAAACAAAACTGAAACTGCTTTGCTGTTGCTGCAAGGTTGGATAATTAGGCAGGCAGATTTCTTTTCTTTTTCCTCACCAAAAAAGGTAGGTGCAAACAATGGGAAATTTAGGGAAAAAGAGGAGAGTTCAAGATTTTAAAACACAAAAGAAAAAAAGCTCTATTTAACTAGGGAATTGTAATAATTGAGATACTATTAATTGTATATTTCTGAAAGCAGAAATGGTTAAGTTGTGGTTTGGAGGAATATATGGGGGAAATTATTTGGTTTATTATTATTGGTAAATATAATTAATTGATTTGTAAGAAATTGGATTGCATGGAAATAATTGGAATATTCATGTTCATATTGATTAATATACAAAAAAGGTAGTTATATAACGAATTGATTTATATTAAAATGTTGAATTTATATTAAACAACTGTAATATTACATAATTAACCAATGTGAGGATGGATATAAAAATAGATGACAATGGGAAGGGGTATAATATAGAATAGAAGGGAAAAATTGAATTTGATTAAGATTGGAGATGAGGATGAAGGGAAATATTGGTTTTTTACAAAAATAGATGAGGAATAAATATGGCAAAAAGGAAATATAGAAATTGTAAATTTAATTGAAATGACTAAACACTGTTTAAATTTGTGAACCGGCCAAATACTCTGTTCAAAGAAAATACATTGTTTGTATGTGTGTTTCTAATTATTGTTATTTATTCATATTTGTTCTCTTTTATTCTTTAAAGTTTAACAATTCATTCTTTTATCTTAATATCTTTATATTTGTTTGGGGTTGGCTTTCTTCCCTTTCATCTTTTTTATTGTACAGCAATCTTTCTCCTCAAACCTACCACCTCTCTCTTTTCTTTCCTTCTTACTTTCTCTTCCTCCCCCTCTTCTTCTCCTCCCTACTTCCTCTTCCTTTCTCCTTCTCCTCTCTTCCTCCCTCTCTTACCCTCCCTCCTACTCTAATTTCCCTTCCCTTCCTTCATCCCTCTCTATTGCTGTATCCTTTTATGCATATGGACTACTCAGAGGGCTGAAAAAGTTATTTCTGACTGGTCCTCGCACTTTTGACCAGTCCTCGAACTTATGACTGTCCTCACATTTTACGTTTTTGCCCTATCTTGTCACCATGGTGAAGAGAAGCAGTTGTGAAATGAGTGACATGGTTGTTAAGAATGCTACAATGGACATAAATGATAACCAGTCATAAGTGCGAAGACCGGTCAAAAGTGCGAGGACCTGTCAGAAATCACTTTTTTCAGCCCTCTGGGTAGTCCTTTTGTGCATATGGACTACTCAGAGGGCTGAAAAAGTTATTTTTGACTGGTCCTCGCACTTTTGACCAGTCCTCGAACTTACGACTGTCCTCACATTTTACGTTTTTGCCCTATCTTGTCACCATGGTGAAGAGAAGCAGTTGTGAAATGAGTGACATGGTTGTTAAGAAAGCTGCACGGGCATAAATGTGAGGATGGTCATAAGTGTGAGGACCGGTCAAAAGTGCGAGGCCCAGTCAGAAATGACTTTTTTTCAGCCCTCTGAGTAGTCCCTATGCACATAGCCACGCCCACCCGGTCACATGACCAGCTAGCCATACCTACACAGTCACATGACCAGCTAGATTTTTTAAATGTTATCTAATTCTGGGTTTTATTTAATTGACCAAACTAAGTAATAATTTTAATTAGCAATTTTATGATGTTTGTGTGTCTATATTTTTCTTGACTGTACACCGCCTTGAGTCCTACGGGAGAAAAGCGGTATAGAAATATAATAAATAAATAAATAAATAGCCATGCCTACACAGTCACGTGACCAGCTAGCCACGCCCACCCACTCACATGATTGCCAAGCCACACCCCCAACTAAGCCACGCCCAGAGAACCTGTTGTTAAAAAAATTGAATCCCACCACTGGGTATTTCCATAGGGCATTTTGACTCCTTATTAGAGCTGTGGTGGCGCAGAGATTAGAATGCAATATTTCAGGCTAATTCTGCCCACTGCCAGGAGTTTGATCTTCAAAGGCTCAAGGTTGACTCTGCCTTCCATCCTTCTGAGGTGGTAAAATGAGGATCCAGATTGTTGGGGGCAATATGATGACTTTGTAAACCACTTAGAGAGGGCTGTAAAGCACTATGGAGTGGTATGGAAGTCTAAGTGCAATTGCTATTGCTGTTATGTATTACTATGTGGTCCCACCAAGCAATTATTTGTTTGTTTATTTTAAAAATTCTCTTTCCTCAGCACCGGTGAATAGCCAGCATCTCCTATTGCATCTTAAGCCAGCCACACACAGCATCTGCTGACTGAGGTAGCTTCCTTACTTTGCCTCCTATTACAACTGTTGGGGGTTCTACCCCTGTCCCCAATATTATTACTAGAGAACTTTCTGGCCTTGTGACTAAACAGCTGGGGGAAATGCAGTTGAATTACAGAGTGTGACTTCAGCCAAGAAAATATATCCTTGACATATTCTCAAATCATAGAACCTGGGAAATAAATAGCTCCTTTTCACTGACTCTCAGATGGAATTGTTTCAGCTGTAAGAAATAAATATTTGCTAATTTGATTCAGAAAATAAAACTCTGTGAATAATGGAAGATCTTGGAAACCTTGCTTCATTACAACTCTTCTCTAAGCAAAGTTCAGTTGAAAATGTATAACTTGACAATCAGGATAGGGATGTCAGACCTCTACCTTTGCTATCACTACCTGATACCAGTTAAATCATTGGTGCATTAAGGAACTGCAAAGTTCTAATTCCAGAGGCTTTATTTCTTCCTGTGGTGAATTAGTTACCTGACTGCTGGGCTAGAGGGTGAAAATAACCTAAGAAACTCTACTTTCAGAACCATCATGGACCCAAGGGAAATGAGCACTGGAGGCATGAGGCAAAGAAGCTCTCAGGAGCAGACCAGTGGAGAAGAGGAAACACAATTACTCAATGGTAAGGAGGCATTTAAGGGGCATGGATGATATATTTTGTTGCACAAATGGGGGGATATCCTTAATGTGGATAAATTATCTGGGGATTTTCAATTAGGTCTTGGAATTAGGTAGTACTATGCAGAGATTAGCATTTTGGGAACCACAGCAAAAAGCCTTATATTACTTTACTGGAAAGATACATAGTGTCCCCCAAATGTTTTGCAATTCAACCCCAAGAAGCTCCTGCCATTCTGAATGCCTCCTAAAAGACTGCAGAACTTGTAGTTAAAGGTATAGTGTATGTTCTATGTATTCTCCTTAATACAGAGCGTTCTCCTTATTTACAAAGTAATTGTAGGGATTCTGGAACAGGAGATGATCAAATGTGCACTAAAGGAAGAGGAAAATAGGGGGAAGTTATACCAAAGGGTTCTACAGAAAGGATGGCAGATGCAATCTTTAATCATTTCCAGATGTGATGGAATGTAGTAAGGAGCTGGATTCCCAGGAAGGAAGGGGTGCATTCACAAAGGGGTAAGGAGACAGTTCAGTACAGACATTATGTGTGAGAGAAAGAGGCTGAAGACAGCCCTTCCCTAATAGTATATTGTAGATGCAGATAGTAGAGTCCAGGGTTTGGCAAAATTCTGCCTATAGGTCTGAAATAATGAAGAACTCAGCTGGGAAGAATCTCTACATGGCATTCTTGGTTTTGGGCCTGACAACAACCTATGAAGTGGGGCAGAGAGGCAAGCATCCGATAATGGTTGAGCCACACATCAGTACGAAATAATATGGAAAATAATGACAAAAAAAAAAAGATCAAGAATTTTGCATGAAGAGCAGGTGTGCCTTTAATATTTGTCCGAAAATGCTAAAGTTCATCTTTCAAAGACAAAACAATGCAAGCATTTAGCTGAAGGGAAAAATTAACATCTTAGTTAACTAGTTACAAAGAAAACATTTGGAAATTTTCATCACAAGACCGTACCACTGTTGTTAAGTGAATCTGTCTTCCCCATTGACTTTGCTTGTCAGATGGTCGCAAAAAGAGGATCTAATGACCCTGGTACACTGTCAAATACATGCCAGTTGCTAAATGTCCAAATTTTAATCCCGTGCTCATGGGGATGCTGCAATGGTTGTAAATGTGAAAAATGGTCATAGGTCACTTTTTTCAGTCCCATTGTAACTTCAAACGGTCACTAAATGAATGGTTGTAAGTTGAGGACTACCTGTACTACACTCAAATATTTGTCAGAGGTACTGGCAATATTCCTTCCTACTAAAATGATATAATGTTTTGTGCTGCTTTACTTGGTAATTAAGCAAAATAGACTTGTAGGATAAACACAGACTTCCAGATCTGCTATTTAAAAGAAGTTACTATAGTGTGGAAATCTGCTTTTTAAAAAAGGCTACAAAAGTATGCGAAGAGTGGAGAAACTAATGCTTGAAATTTGGAGTAGTAATTTAGAAGAAAAAACTCTGTACAATGGGAAGATTTCTGTCTAATCCCAGCAATGAACTGACTTCCTCCATTCGCCCAATGTCCAATCATGCTTTTAAAGTGAACCTGTTTCTAATTCTCTAGGAGAAGTTGAACACCTGGAGAAAATCACTGCCCACATCCAATGGAAGAGACACCTGGAGGTAATAATAGATATTATAATAGGTAATAATAAAAGCAGGTGGACTAGAGAAACAAATATTCTCCCTAAATGATGAATTATCAAGAATGATGAAAATGGTCAATTCTATGTCTCCACGGTCACATGGTCTCTATCCTTGCCATAGAGTATTAGGTCCTGTATGTTTATTAGGCTTTCTGGGCAAGGGAGCTTCTGTAACAGATCAAAGAATGGAAGCAACTGGACAATGAGTAAGAACACACAGTTATAGCTAAGTGGTTGAGGAGAGCTGGCCACTGCATGAGGCAATCTAAGGCGTGATTAGTTGCTGTGTGCTGTGTGCAATTTACCTCATGATGTTCCTACTGTAAATATATTTGTTTATATAAAACTGCAAGTTCCTGTCAGCATGTCTGACTCCATTTGGACATCATCTGTGATGTCCAATTCCCTGACAGTGTCCATCACCTAAATGCATTCTAGGAATCTATCTATGATAGGCCTGGGCATCATTAAATTCCCTCTGTTTTGCTGGTAGGTAATGAAGGCGAAGGTACTAGAACAGGTACACAATCAGCTGAGTGATCTCTTGGACAAGACCTTGGAAGAAGCAGCTCATTCCAGACCCCAGCAATTGAGTGTTGTCCCAGCAAAGAAGCAAAGCAGGTGGAAGAGGTTTCTCGCAATTAATTTTAGAAGAGGGATGGGGAAAATGGAGTCAGCAGACAGTGCTGGCTCAATGGCCTTGAAACAGAGATGAGCACCACCTCCTATAGTCATCAATGACTGTGGAGTAAAATCCTCAGGGACTCTCACCTTTACCCCACTTCTCAGAGGTGAGAAGGGTTTTGAGAGATATATTAAATATTACCTGCTTTGAAATGTTATCTTGCAGAGAGAAGGGTCAGCTACTGAAGAAGAAAGTCTTTGTCCCTCAACGGTCCTTGTATGAGTAAGTATGCCTGGCTATGATATGATAAGACTTAGACAGAGGGACAATGTGCAAAGTAGCCAGATCTCTAAGGCCTCAGGCTCCAAAGGCCTCAGGTTCCAACTGATACTCCACTGTTGATGAAGAACAAGAGTTGGAAATAGCCCGATAAGGACTGAGCATGCTCCATAGCAACACAATGCTGAGACTCTTTGGCAGGTGCCGGGAGAGTATGAAAAGAATAGATACTGCGGATGGGAAACAAAAAGTATTTTTGAAAGGATTACCGTGTTTCCCCGAAAATAAGACATGTCCTGAAAATAAGGCCAAGCTTAATTTTTCGGGTGGGCCTAAATATACTCCCTCCCCCACAAAATAAGCCCCCCTCTCTCACACACACAAGTGCACACAGGTCCCTCACCCCCCCAACCCTTCCAAGGCAGCCACATTCCTGTGCCCCCTGCCCCTTTCGCCGCCCACAGCACCAACTGTAAGATCTCAAGCGCCTGCTCTGACTCCTGTACCATCGTAGCAGCCCGCCCGCTCTCTCCCCCGTGCCCAGGCACCGCATCCACATAGCCTGCGCTACCAAGTACCCACCACAGCAGCCCCAGCGCAAGCAGCCCCACCCCGGGGCTTCTTTCGCAGGGCGGCTATTGGCGGCCAAGCTCAGCCACGGGTAAGGAGTGTTGGCCATGGCTGGGGTGGCTGAGCTGTGTCTGTCGGCTCTGCCCTCAGTGCAGCTGCCCGGCATCTAGCTGCTGGGCGCCTGGAAAGAGTAAACTGGACCTGCGGCCTCGCTGCGGGTGCTCCAGTCAGTCAGCGCTCAGGCAATCATAGCAGAGAGGAGCAGGTGTGAAGGTGAGGCCTCAGGCCATCTTCATCATAGAGTGGGAAGCAGACTCCCAGAGCGGCCGCTGCCCTGGCTGGGATTTGGAAGTCACAGAGGCAGAGTTTGGGGGAAAGAAAGAAAGACTTCTGCTGCTTCTGCTTTTGGCTGCATGCAAGGAAAGCAGCAGAAGTCTTTCTTTCTCTCCCCCAAACTCTGCCTCTGCGGCTTCCAAACCCCAGCCAGGGTAGCGGCTGCTCTGGGAGTCTGCTTCCCACTCTATGGTGATGTTGCTCACCAGCTTCACCCACATCAACATGGTGAGGCCTGGGAGGCATGCGAGTGTGGGGTGGGGACAGGCACTCGCGTGGCTTGGTACTCACATTCTACACACACACACCATGGGAGGGGAGGGGCTTGATGGCGGCGCACAAAGGGAATCTCTCTCTGCTGGACTCCTGGCTGTGAGTGCACAGGCTGCCCAGGCCTCCTGCTCCCCCAAAATAAGAAGACCCCCGATAATAAGGCCAAGCCCTTATTTCGGGGTTCAAAAGAAAATAAGACCCTGTCTTATTTTCGGGAAAACACAGTAGGTTGATTAGCTGGCTAGCACGATAGTACAAAGAGTTATTACTAACATATTAGAGTCAGGCTGTTTGTAGTCTCAGCAGGAGTGAGTTTCCTGCTTGGTCCAAGGCAGGAGTGAAATCCTACCGGTCCAGGTCGGTTTGTCCGAACCTGGAGTAGAAAACGCTACTGGTTCGCCAAACTGGTAGTAAAAATAGCAAAAAAAAAAAAAAAGTTCCGAAGATCAGCTGAGCGACCCGTGATGGTCTGAACTTTTTTTTTTTTTTACTTTTTAAAGCATTTTTAACTACCAGTTCCGGAGAACTGGTAGTAAAAAATGCTTTAAAAGTTTTTTAAAAAAAGTTCGAATGATTGCACGTCGCTCAGCTGATCATTGGAATTTTTTTTTTTTTATGTTTAAAGCTTTTTTTAGTATCGGTTTTCCAGAACCGGTAGTTAAAAATGCTTTAAAAAGTTTTTTAAAAGATTCCCAAGCTCTTTGGGAAACCATGTGCAGCCAGCGAACCAGTAGCAAACCAGTTCAGATTTCACCACTGGTCCAAGGGCTCAATTGCGGTCGTATGTTGAGGACTACCTGTATATCATAAGAGATGGAACATTTTCCCCTCAGCCACTTGAATGTTATTTCTTCTGTAAAAGTGAAACTACAAGTTTTTGCACAGAAGACCAAATGAAAATCTTTTCCCAGATTTTCCCAGGTCTTGTCCAATGATCTCCATCTGCCCATGTCTCCCAACAACTTACTTGCTGGCAACTTGTCTCTCTTTTACAGCACGTTGCTGGAGGTGGAACATTTCCGCACAATCCATCACATATTTGTGGCCATGCTCTGTATCTTTGTCCTCAAACAAATCATTGTGGATTCCATCGATGAAGGACGGTATGATTCAGGAGAGGGGATGGGGTAGAAGGCCTGTCCTCTGATGTATGCTAGTTCTGGGGATATGATGCTATTTATTTTGTGCTAACGGACACAGTAATAATCCTAAAAACATATTTACCTAATCTGTGAATTTAGATTCCAAAGTTTAACAACCTTGGACCCCTGCCGAGTCCTTGGGCCCCTGCAGGGAACTTGATCCAGCTGCATCTCCTCCCACTTGTCACTGTTCATCTGCTAGCTAAAAAGAAAATGCAATTTGTTCTTCTCCTTGCCTTTGTGCTCCTGTTGAGCAGTAACACTTGGGACCCTCCTATGCCTGCCTAGAGACTTAGCCTAAGTGCGGAGTGCCTCCTTTGGTGTCCCCTTTGCTAGGCATCCAAACACTCTTCTCTATGCTAGTAGTTTACTTGTGCAGTTCACTTCTTCTACCCTCCTTCTGGGATATGCAAAAGTCCAAACAACCATGTGATGGAGGCAGAGAGAGATCACAGGTGAAATTCAGCCGCTTCTCACCGGTTCACCTGAACCGTTAGTAAATTGCTTAGGCAGTTCAGAGAACCAGTTAAAAATAAAGTGCAAGAGAGTTTTTTTTTCTCTCTCTCTCTCTCTCTCACTTCAGTTAATAGCTCAACAGTTGTAGCTGGAATGCAGCCGATACACGCTGAATCAAGTCAATAAACAACAGAAATTGACATGATTAGGGCAGAGAAACCGATCAATCACCCATCTAGAAATGGGATTAACCTTTCCCTTCAGGAAGGAGGACAAGATTACAAACATTTTCATTATAAAGAGTATTAAGTAACACTTCTGTGATCCTCCCTGGAGTTTCCCAAGACTTTTTATAGCTGCTGCAGTGTTGGCTACTTCTTGTTTCTTCCTGGGGAAAAGATATAGGACTGGACAATGATGCAGTTTGATTGTACAGGCCGTGAATCTAATGCATGTGTGGTCCAGCCAGCTGTATTGCTTCTGCTGTGAAGCACCCAATTTAGAACATAGAATAATAGAATTGGAAGGGTTAATGGCTTTTGGCAGCATGCCCAGGCTTTCAATTAGCCTGAGCAGCTGCTCTTAGTTTCCCTCTCAGCTGCTGCATTTGCTTTGGGGTTGACTTTTTTAAAAAGGAGGAATAGCTGTTTTATGTTTTCTGCATTGTTTTAGTGGTTCCTGGCACTGTCCTTTTGGGCTGCACTTCCCTCACTCTTTTTGAAAGCCTTTAGTGATGGCAAGCTATTCCATTGATTGATTGGTCTCACCCTTAGGAAATTTCTCCTTACTCCTAGGTTGCTTCTCTCTTTGGTTAGTTTCCATCCATTGTTTCTTGTTCTGCCTTTTGGTACTTTGAAAAATAGATTGACTCCCTCATTTTTGTAGGAGCCCCTCAAATTTCTTGACAGAACAATTAATCAGTGGAACAACGTGCCTCCAGAAGTTGTAAATGCTCCAACACTGGAGGTTTTTAAGAAGAGGTTAAGTAACCATTTGTCTGAAGTGGTGCAGGGTTTCCTGCCTAAGAAAGGGGTTGGACTAGAAGACCTCCAAGATCATTTCCAATTCTGTTATTCTATTCTATTCTAAATATTGGAACAGTGCTATTTTATTGTGCTATTTTATTGTGAGTCGGACTAAGGAGAAATTTCCTAAGGGTGAGATCAATCAAGTTGGCAATGCCCACCCAGTCACATGACCCATTTCCCACAGAAAACACTAGGAGCCACAAAACCCGGGCAGGTGTGCCTGGGGGCGGGTGTTCATGTGACAGGGTGGGAGTAACATTGAGTTGGCCACACCTGCCCGCCCAGTCACATGACCAAGCCACACCCACCCAGTCACATAACCACCAAGCCACGCCCACTAGGTCACGCCCACCGAACCAGTAGAGAAAAATTTTGAATGTCACCCCTGAGAGAGATACAAATATTTCTCTGTGTCACCTATATCTCAGATGGATTTTTGCAATCCAGATCCAGTGGCCGTAGGAAAGAAAAACATAAAGATCCAATCCGGGTCGGTCACCATGAGCTTTCAGACTCATGCTGGAACCCATCCTCAGGGAACTTCTCTCTCACCAGAATGTGAGCGAGATGCCACTCTAAGAGAATTTATAGCAGCATTAGACTCTATATTCAACAGATCAGAGATAGAAGAACCAGAAAAACATGCCATCAGGCAAAAAGTATTGGCAATGCTGATTGCACACAAACCATACAATGTGCTCAGTCCAATGAAGCAACACACCTTGAAAGACCTGAAAAAGAAACAAACAAACATTCTGGTGAGAGAGAAGTTCCCTGTGGATGGGCTCCAGCAGAAGCCTGAAACTTGGAAGATCAAACCTCTGGTCTGAGTGATTGACCCCGATAGAATCCCCCAACATTATCCTGGGATACGTATTTTTGCCTTCGTTCATGGAAAAACATGAAGTCTTTGAGCCAGTCTCCATCTGCCTACGAAAAATCTGGTTCTGGCATTATTCCAGCCTTTTGCCCATTCTGCTCATTGTAATGTTTATCTGTTTTTAATGTTGTATGCTGCCATGGGCCATTTTTTAATTGGGAAGCCTTACGAATAAAATAATTCATCAAAGGAAAAGAAGGAGAAGGAAATGACCATGATAGGCAAATTCTTGAAATCATCAGCAGTTCTGTTGAAGCTGAACCATTGTTAGAAATTCTGATTTACTCTGTAGAAATGGTAGCAGAGGATTATTATATTGCCATACAGATTGGTAGCAGAGAATGGTTATGTAGCCATACAGGTCAAATAAAGTGTACAGTGTATAGTCACTATGGGCCTTGCTGGTTAATAGTTTCAACTGTCACAACTGTTGCAGGAAACTCTCCTCAGAACATAAAGGAACCATGGATTATGACCATAGATGCTAACTAAACACTGCCATCTACTGGCTAATTAATTAAATAATTAAGTAATACATTCCAATTCTAACATATATTCCAACAAGCATGAAGCAGGTCAAGGAAGAAGTCCACTAGAAGACAGAGCACCAAGTTCACTTTCACAGCGAGGGAGCTAATTGAGTCGCTTTGGGTCAGTTGATCAACCTCTCAGCTTTCACTGGGGATAAGATTAGGAGGAAATTCCAGGTGTTTGCCTTGAATTTTCAAAACGGAAGATTTACGTGGGATAAATAAATGTCTTATACAATAACCTAAACTCCACATGAGCTGTAGACCAGCAGAGTAGAAAGCTCAGGGAGATGTACCAAAAAACGATTAGACATTATTCTAATCCATTTTAAAATGGATTTTAATTGATTTTAGCGATTTTATGTGTAACTTTTAACCCGGAGTTTTTGTTTTATTTTTCTGTTTTATTGTTGTGAGCCGCCCTGAGTCCTCGCAGAGAAAGGGTGGCATATAAGTCTAAACAAACAAACAAACAAATAAATAAATAAAATAATTCTGACAGGAATGTTGAGTAATGTTTCTAATATGACAGACACCTCAAATACCTCGCAGTCCTCTATTCCTGACCCATTTAAATTGTGCTGGGGACATTTTTGTGGGTCCAATATTTAAGGATGAGCAATAGGTGAAATTATTAAGGTTATGAAACAAAGATTATGAAACAAAACAAGATTATGGACAAAATGAGGGGGACGGATTGTAATTTTTTCAGTTGGTGGTGGGTTTTCCTTCATTCTAACTCTGTTCTGACTATTTTGAAGAGTTCATGGGAACTTTCTTGAGTTTACCTTCTCAAAATAGCAGGACCATCCCCTTCACTTTTCAGCAGTTATGCCACTGAATATTGGGGCTGCCCCAGAGAAATTGCTTATTTAATTTGAAACATCCTTATCTTTTGGGGAGCATCCTTAGAGCTCTTTTTCTTCTTTGTCTTCCACAGTCTTGTTCTGGATTTCGAGCTCTTTATCATTGGCTTTCGACAGCTGCCCACAGCACTCTTAACCTGGCTCTGCATGTTCCTCTACACCTTATTTGTGCCCTACCAGGCCCTGCAAATATGGTCAGGCTGCTTGAAGATGACCAGGTTCCCCAACCTCTTGACTGTCACCCTGGTGTTGTTGGTGCTGCTCTGCCATGCTGCAGTGCTGGGCTTCTTCCCCGTCTATATTGCTGTCTACTGTAACTTGGGAATTGCCTCTCGTATAATTGTCATCTATGAGCAGGTATGGCACTGGGGCAGCACAAAGAAAGTGGGTATAGGGGAAAGGTGCTTTTAAACAGAAATGGGGGAAGCTAAGGTTGAACTTTGAAGTGAGGTTGGATTTATGAAGGAATCCTGGTTGCCCCAGGACATGTCAGTGTGGAAAGTATAGATAGCAGCAAGTGCTAGAAAGGCCCCCTGTATTCATAAATGTATAGTTCCATACACAGGCCATATATTTGCCATTGTACAGAGAAGAAATGCCAACCTCACTCCAGGTTTAAGGCAGCTTTCTCCTATCTGGTGTCCTCTAAATGGTCTGGACAATCCCCAAATAGAGTCATTAAGGGTAGGCCAGGTTAAAGATATATACTTCACTATACATTGCCAGGAATAAGATATACAGTACATTTTTAAAAATTTTGTGGCAGAAGTTATGGTCCTTAGCAGCCATCGTCATGTATATGTCATATATAAATGCTTACAGTAGGACTTGCCAGGGCCTCAAATATATGTTCTTCTTGCAAGCTGGAAGATAAGCAGATTTCATCCAAGCAAGAAGTTGAGCAGAAAGATCAGCAGGCAGTATAGCTGACAGTTAGCCAAGTGAGTAAGCAGGGGCCATTTCTGTCTGAAAAGTCTAGACAGACAGTCTGGAGCACCATGGGATCCATGGGATCCACCATGGGAACATTTGAGACTTCTTGGATCACCCCATCCTGCTGAGATAATAATAATAATAATAATAATAATAATAACAATAATAATAATAATAATAATAATAATAATAATAATAATAATAATAATAATAATAATAATTTTATTTCTATACCGCCCTTCTCCCGAAGGACTCGGGGCGGTGTACAGCCAATTTAAAAACACAAGACACAACAATGATTAAAAATTAAAATAATTAAATAGATTTGGCCGATTTAAAACCCCCAAAATTTAAAATACCCCAATTTAAAATTATTATGTTGATAGCCCGGCCTGGCGGAACAACAGGGTCTTCAATGCGCAACGAAACACCCGGAGGTCGGAGATCTTATGTATTTCCGGGGGCAGTTCATTCCACAGGGCTGGGGCTCCCACAGAGAAGGCCCTCCCCCTGGGTGTCGCCAGCCGACATAACTTGGCTGATGGCACCCTGAGGAGACCCTCTCTGTGGGAGCGGACTGGTCGGTGGGAGGCTATTGATGGCAGAAGACGGTCTCGAAGGTACCCAGGTCCTATGCCATGGAGCGCTTTAAAGGTGGTAACCAACACCTTGAATCGCACCCAGAAGACCACTGGGAGCCAGTGCAGCTCGCGCAGGAGGGGTGTCACGCGGGCACAACGAGTTGCGCCCATAACCACCCGCGCGGCCACATTCTGGACCAGTTGGAGCCTCCGAGTGCTCTTCAAGGGGAGCCCCATGTAGAGAGCATTACAATAGTCCAGCCGGGAGGTGACAAGGGCATGAGTGACCGTACGCAAGGCGTCCCGGTCCAGAAAGGGCTGCAACTGGTGGATCAGGTGAACTTGATAAAAGGCCCCCCTGGCCACGGCCGTCATATGCTCTTCTAAAGACAGCCGTGCATCCAGGAGGACACCCAGATTGCGAGCCCTCTCTGTGAGGGGCAAAGATTCACCCCCAATAGTCAGCGATGGCACCTGCTGACTATATCGGGACGCCGGCAGCCACAGCCACTCGGTCTTGGACGGGTTGAGTCTGAGCCTGTTCCTCCCCATCCAGACCCGCATGGCCTCCAGGCAGCGAGACATCACATCAAGGGCATCGTTGGGGTGGTCTGGGGTGGAGATGTACAGCTGAGTATCATCAGCGTACAGATGACACTTCACCTCAAAACCACGGATGATCTCACCCAGCGGCTTCACATATATGTTGAACAGAAGGGGCGAGAGGACCGACCCTTGTGGCACTCCCCATGCGAGACGCCTCAAGGTTGACCTCTGCCCCCCTGCCAACACGAACTGCGAGCGGTCGGAGAGGAAGGAGGAGAACCACCGCAGAACGGTGCCCCCTATTCCTAACCCTCTCAACCGCCGCAGCATGATACCATGGTCGATGGTATCAAAAGCTGCTGAGAGATCTAATAGGACTAGGACAGAGGAGCAACCCCTGTCCCGAGCCCTCCAGAGATCATCCACCAACGCGACCAATGCCGTTTCTGTGCTGTGCCCCTGCCTGAAGCCCGACTGGCCCGGGTCTAGATAGATAGCTTCATCCAGGTGCCCGGGCAGTTGTCGTGCCACCACACTCTCAACAACCTTCGCCACAAAACGAAGGTTGGAGACTGGACGGTAGTTAGCTAATTCAGCCGGGCCCAGGGAAGGCTTCTTGAGGAGGGGCCTCACCACCGCCTCTTTCAAGGCGGCGGGAAAGGCACCCTCACTCAGAGAAGCAGTTATAATCCCCTGGAGCCAGCCTCGTGTAACCTCCCGGGAGGCCAGTACCAACCAGGAGGGACACGAGTCCAATAAACATGTGGCGGCACTAATCCTACCCAGAACCCTGTCCACATCCTCGGAAGCCACAGGATCAAACTCCTCCCAGATAATATTCTCAAGACCTGCCCCTGTCTCCTCCCCTGGACTCATCCAATCGGAGTCCAAGCCATCCCGAATCCGAGCGACTTTATCATGCAGAAATTGCACAAAATCCTCAGCGCGGCCCTGCAAGGGATCTTCCCGCACTCCCCCCCGAAGAAGGGAGTGGGTCACCCTAAACAGAGCGGCTGGGCGGTTCTCTGCAGATGCGATAAGAGCAAAGAAATGGTTAGATTTAGCCGCTTTTATCGCCACTAGGTAGGTCTTGATATAAGACCTCACCTGTGTCCGGTCGGAATCGGATTGACTAGTCCTCCAAATGCTCTCTAGGCATCTTTTCCGATGCTTCATCTCTCTCAGCTCCTCGGAGAACCAAGGAGCCAATTGAGATCGGCATCGGGTCAGAGGCCGCAAAGGCACGATGCGGTCCAAAGCTCCGGCGGCCGCACTCTCCCAGGCGGCCACCAGCTCATCAGTCGAGTCGTGTGCCAGAGTCTCAGGAAACGGCCCAAGCTCCGTCAGGAATCTTTCGGGGTCCATCAGGCGCCTGGGACGGAACCATTTGGTCGGTTCCGTCTCCCTGCGGCAGGGGAAAGTGGTAGGAAAGTCTAAGTGAAGGAGCGAATGATCTGTCCATGACAAGGGTTTGATATCTAGGTCCCCTCTACCAAGATCATTCAACCACTGACCAGAGACAAAAATCAGGTCCAGAGTGTGTCCCCCTATGTGAGTTGGGCCTTGAACTAAGTGGGTCAGGTCCATGGCCGTCATGGAAGCCATGAACTCCCGAGCCGCCTCTGACACCTCACCCGCCGACGGAAGGTTGAAATCCCCCATGACAATAAGTCTGGGGGTGTCAACCGCCACCCCGGCAATGACGTCGAGTAGCTCGGGCAGGGTCGCTGCCACGTGGCAGGGAGCCAGGTACGCAGTCAGCAAACCCATCTGCACCCCACGGCCCCACTTCACAAAGAGGGACTCACATCCGGCTATCTGAGGAACAGTGGTCTCCCTCGGACAAAGACTCTCCCTAATAATCACCGCCACTCCCCCACCCCTCCCCTGGGCCCTTGGCTGATGAAATGCACGGAAACCTGGTGGGCACATTTCAACAAGGGGAACCCCCCCTTCTTGGCCCAACCAGGTCTCTGTAATACCTGCCAGGTCCGCACCCCCCTCTAAAATAAGATCACAAATGAGGGGGGCTTTATTAACGACCGACCTGGCATTACACAACATCAGCCGCGGACCCTGGGCCTGAGACTCTGCACAACCCAGGACACGAGTCGCGCATTGGGGGCTGGGGTGCGTAATTGCTCGTAAACAGTGTGTGTGCATCCCCAGCACATGATATGGCCCCCTGCGCCCGTCATATGGCCCCCTGCGTCCGTTAGGCCAATGGGTACAATTCCTTTCTTTGAATATCCACAAGAATGGTACCAAAGGGCAGGTAGGTGGCATAGCTGAATACTAAAGTCCTCTGCAAGGATATCTACAACATGACTCAACTTCACACTGTTTCCTTGCTCATTTCCCTCTCTGGCATAGATCCGGTTCCTGATGAAAAGCTACTCATTTCTGCGAGAATCGATGCCGCCTCTTCTCCATGCCAGGGACCAAGTTGGTGAGTTTGACTAGGAGGCTCTTAGTGATTATTATGATGGCTATAAATCGCCCCCAGAATCCCCAAACTGATTTTCCACCAATGCAGCATCTTAGTTGTAGCATAAAATAGTCATGCAACCATTGGCTTCCGCATGCTAATTGCTATCACAGACTTTCTTGATCTATGAAACTGTTGAATTAGACTTTCCATTTTCCTGTCATTGATTGGGTACGGTAGTAGATTTTAAGTATAACAAAATAATGAGAAAGCTTATATGGCTGCAAAGAAAAGGATCAAGAATTATTTTTCCATATCCCTCATCAAATTACAATTTCTCCTATTTGCCAGACTTTGTTTTGCATGAAGAGCTGCAGAACATGGGTGATTTATTTATTTATTTATTTATTTATTTATTTATTTTATTAATTTAATTTGTATACCGCCCTTCTCCCAGAAGGGACTCAGGGCGGTGAACAGCCAAAATTAAAAAACATACAAATGCAAAAGTTAAGATAATTAAAAGAATTAAATCATTGGCTACCCAAATTTAAAACCCCAAATCCATAAAATTTAAAATCCCAATTAAAAACCATTTAGGCTAGGCCGGCTTGATGAAATAAAAACGTCTTCAGGGCTTTACGGAAGGTCCGGAGGTCCGGGATCAATCGTATTCCAGGAGGCAGCTCATTCCACAGGGCGGGTGCCCCCACAGAGAAGGCTCGCCCCCTGGGGGCCGCCAGCCGACATTGCCTGACCGACGGCACCCCGAGGAGGCCCTCTCTGTGAGAGCGTATTGGCCTATTTATTGATCTATTTATTGATCTATTTATTGATCTTTCTTATCAGAATACAAAGCAACTCAAAAATAAAAAAAAATCTGACATGTAGTGTAAGATATTATTGATTGCATTTTTTCTTATGCATATCTTTGTGAACACGTGGAATAGAAATGTTCCTTGTTTGTTGCTTTTGTATACCAATGGAGACAGGTTTTCACAAAGTTGTATTCTACATCCTGTATCACTCTTTAACTATAGCGGGTTTTGCAGGTATTTTTTGTACATAAGAAGTATCTTAATCAGCAGAGCCATGGTAGTGCAGTGGTGAGAATGCAGCACTGCAGGCTAATTCTGCTGAATGCTAGAAGTTCGAGTCTTACCAGCTCAAGCTTGACCTTCCATCCTTCTAAGGTCAATAAAAATGAGGACCAGGATTGTTGGGGGCAATATGCTGACTCTGTAAACCACTTAGAGAGAGCTGTAAAGAACTGTGAAATGGTATACAAGAGTACTATTGCTGCTGCTATCATCACATATACATAAAGCTCTGCATTCTTCCTGCTGAAACGGCATGCAGAGAGAAGATGCCTGCACTTGAGTACCATGTGTCCTCCAGGACAACTATTTCTTCAGTGTATAATACAAATTGCTATCTCTGTACTTGTCCCTGTGTACTTCCAACTGTTCCTTTGCTTCTTTCCCCCCACTCCAGGGAAGATAAGCCCTCCTGAGTTCTCAACCTACTTGTATTTTCTCTTCTGCCCTACTTTGATCTACAGAAAGAGCTATCCAAGGTAATTCCTTGCATATCATCCTTGTGTTTTTGCACACCGTCCCCCGGGTTTCTCAGCTCTATCAGAAAAAGGGTGGGCAAAACAGGCTTTTGGGTCTATGGCCCATGCCCCCAGAGCAATGGTACAACCCGAGAAAAGGGAAAACTCTCTTCTCACATCTCAACTCCATCCCTGCTCCTTTCCTTATAGAGATCCATACATCCGCTGGAGTTATGTCATCCAAAAACTGGTTGAGGTGAGAGAAACACATTAAGTTTATCTGGTCTGTCTATGGATTAGAAATGAGCTTGGAGACGATTGGATTTTCCCTTGAGACTGAGCTGATCTGGAAACCCTAAGGGGTCTTAGCTGGCCAAGGTAGTAAATACTGTAGCAATAATTATTTAAGAAGCCCTGAGTGACCAAAGACCACCATTTAAATTTCCCAGAGTTCTCTAGCCTTGAGTGAATGAATTATAATATTTGTCCTGAGTCATCTTTGATGCAAAAAGTTCACTTTCCTAAGAGATGTTCAACTTAAAACTTTAGACACAACGTACATAGTTTCAAATATCTCACACAGGAAAACAAAAGGAAAAAAGGGGGATGGAACTTAGAGCCACTCAGGAAGTGAGTGGTGCAGAAATCTATGACAGATTGACTAAAACTAAAGAGAAGAGGGACCGATGTTGGAGGACAGCATTTGGGCATTGTAGGATTGTATTAAAATGGCAGCCAAATCCAGCTTCTGAGATCATAGACCAGAAGAAGGTTGTTCTTAGTCATAGCCGAGAGCTGGCAACCAGTATGCCTTGCCAGAATACTGAGATGTCAGTAGATCACTAAGGTAAAGTACTTTCTCTTTGTCCCACAGTTTCTGGCGAGTGTATATTTTATGAATTTCCTTCTGAAATACTACTTCATCCCTAACTTCAGCAACATGCATAAACAGCCCTTCACCATCAAAATCCTGCTGCTCTACATCTTTGATTCAGTAGTACCCGGTATGTGGAAATTCCTGTAATAGGATTATGCGATCAGGCTGATTTGTAACATTTTAGAAAAAGTGAAGAGAGACGTACTACAGGTAGTTCTCAACGTACAACCATTTATTTAGTTATAACAGCACTGAAAAAAGTGACTTATAAATGTTTTTCACACTTACCATATTTCTCAGAGTATAAGATGCACCGGAGTATAAGATGCACCTTAGTTTTTGAGGAGGAAAATAAGAAAAAAGCTGATTGGCAGGTGGATCGGCCTTCCGGAATACCCCCAATCAACTGTTCCCAGAGGTGAATTTTAGCAACAGGTTCCTTGGTTGTGAGGTCTGTGCCTTGCTTTTTTTTTTTTTTTTTTGCTTTTTTTTCCTGCCTCTGAAACGTCTGAAACTCTGTTTCAGAAAAACCTTTTTCCCCTGCCTCTGAAAGCCTCCGAAACAGAGCTTCAGAAAAAAAGCTTCTGAAGCTCTGTTTGGGGGCTTCGTTTCTGAAGCTTCGTTTCTGATGCTTTTTTCAGCCTCTGAAACCTCCGTTTGAGAAGCTGGGCGGGGCTACATTGGAGTATAAGACACACCCAGATTTTCACCCTCTTTTTGGGGGGAAAAAGGTGTGTCTTATACTCCGAAAAATACGGTATGACTGTTGCAGCATCCTCATGCTCAAGTGATCAAACTACATGCCATAAATACTGGCATGTATTTATTATGGTTGCAGTATTCCGGAGTCATTTGATCACCTTTTGCATCCTTCTGACCAGCAAAATCAATAGGGAATTCAGATTCACTTAACCACTAGGTTACTAACTTAACAACTGCAGGGATTCACTTAACAACTGGCAGGAAAAGTCATAAAATGGGGCAAAACTCACTTAATTGTCTCAGCAACCAAAATTTTGGGCTCAATTATGACCATAAGTCGAGGACTATCTGTAGCAGCTAAGTGATACATTGTAAGCTACCCAGAATTGCTTTGAGTAGCAAGATAAGCAGTATATAAATTTAATAAATAATTAGTTACCTCATTTTACAGCCCAATATACATATGATTTTGGACTATATGTAACATCCACATCTTTTGCCTGAATTATTCTCCAACTGCTGTGCTCTATGGTCATTTGAACATTGTCCTGGGTGAAATCCAGCAGGTTCTAACAGGTTCTGGAGAACCGGTAGCGGAAATGTTGAGTAGTTCAGAGAACTAGCAAATACCACCTCTGGCTGGCCCCCGAGTGGGATGGGAATAGAGATTTTGCAATATCCTTCCTCCAGAGTGGGGAGGCAATGGAGATTTTGCAATATCCTTCCCCTGCCACGCCCACCAAGCCACGCCCACAGAACCAGTAGGGAAAAAAATTGGATTTCACCCCTGAATAAGGGGTATGCAAAAATCCTGTATACATGAGATAAAGCTGGAGAATATGGTGCTGCTCATAAAATTCTACTTGCCAAAAATGTTACTTTTACTTCTAAACGGAAATTTGTAGTCCTGGTTGCAAAGATATGTTTTGCATTGTGGGAAGTAAAATCTGGTCTGGTTCTTATTCCAAGCTGGGAGAAAGATGCAGGAGAAATGAACTGAAGGCAGCTGCAGTTGGAAAGGAGGTCTGCATTTATTTGGTAGCCAGAAACAACAGTAACAGCAGCGTGTCTATGATGTGGCTGACAAATTTTGGTTGAGAGTAGATAGGCTTTTATACAATTTGGGGGGGCTTTCCGATTGAGATGCCTGTTCATGCCCTTAAATATTTTAATTTAATTTTATTTATTTTAGGAAATTTATATTGCTGCCTATTCGCACATGGCAACTCAAGGCGGCCTACAGGAATGTAAAAACCTCATATATAAAATAATAAAACTAATAAATGAGAATAATCATATAATAAAATAATGCAATAAAATAAAATAACCCCCAACCCAGTGACAAAGCATCACACGAGCCATTTAATGGGCTCCATCCTGCTCTGTGTTCCCAGGCCCACTGGAAGAACCAGATTCTTCTGGAAGAGTGTTAGAGTGGAGCTTCCGGATGCTCTTCAAGGGCACCACCATGTAGAGCATGTTGCAATAGTCAAGACAGGAAGTGACTAGGGCATGAGTGACCGTGAGTAGGGATTATCTTAATGGCTGTTGCCAGATTCCTATGGCGTCATGTAGGCATCATGACTGGTTCTATAGGCAGAAGGGGAAATGCAATATCCAGGTGTTTTGTTCATTTGAGGCAATCTTGTCAGTTTCAGCTCCTTGCCTATTGTGCTGCTTATTTGGAGCTATTTACTTTCCTTTGTTTATGAATAGAAGGACTGGCTTTATGAATGGATACAAAATATCCATTCACAAAGCCTAGCCCCGTGCTGGCGAACCTATGGCACACATGTCACAGGTGGCATGCGGAGCTCTCTCTGCGGGTACGCGAGCCATTGCCCAAGCTCAGCTCCATCATGCATGTGTGCTCGCCTCCCACCGGCCAGCTGATTTTTCAGTCTCTGGTGCGCATGTGCAGGGGGGTGGGGTGCATGCAGGACACATGCAGGCAGGCGCAGAGCAGGCGTGGGTGCACGGGGGGTCGAGCGTGCATTGCATTATGGGTTATAAGTGCAGGGAGGTCTACTAGGCCCAACATGGGGTGTGGGGGGAGCGGTGTGCCCCCCACACCCCATTTTTGCTCCCAGGAGGTTGCAGGGAGGCCTAATAGGCAGCATACCCTGAGAAGCCTCCAACATCTCCTGGCCTGCTAGGTTTTTTTTTGATATTGGCCATTCCTTGGGTCGAACATCCAGGGAAGGACCCACTGATGGAACTGACAGGGCCTCCAGGATGGCAGGCTCCACTAGTCCATGGACTCTGCCGAGCCCGCAGCCTCCAGAACTGGCTGCATTCCCTCAGCCATGCTGATAAAGGTAGCTCTGACTTCCTGTCAGGTTCCGGTAGTCAAGAAAAGAAAACTCCACAAAACTCAGTCCTGAGTCGTAGTGTATTTATCTTCTTCGCTCTGGCACAAACTGACCATCATTGAATGCAATAGAGTGAAATGAAGTCAGGGTTAGCTGCCCAGTGCTCCCTATCACCATTTAAATGTTCCCATGGGCCAGCCCCTAGCCTTGTGCGCACCCCACCCTGCTCAGCTGCATCAGCGCCCGTCCCACCTCTCAGCTATTCCTGATCCCCAGAACTCACCGCTCCTGGTTCTCAGCTGATCCTGCCAATTGACATCCGTGACAGCGGCAGTGGTAGCCAGGCCCGGCCTAGCCAGAACCCAGTCAGTGTCTGTGACGGAGCTGAGGTCCACAAGCAAAGGGCACAGTGGGTGTAGCACTGCCTCGGAGTCTTCCGGTCCCTGCTGGAACTGCCCCAGTGTCTCCTTTCGCTGCTGGAGTGGCAGCCCCATGCCATCAAGCGTGCCGGGGCTGACATGAGGCCCAAAATGGGGCATGGGAGACAGTGCGACCTCCCCATGGCCCGTTTATGCTCCCAGGAGGCTGCAGGGAGGCCTACTAGGCTCAAAATAGGGTATGGGGAGAGCGTGGGGGGGTCGCGCACACATGCGCAGGTGGTCACAGCACAGGGGGTCGCATGCGCATTGCATTATAAATGCAGGTGCATGAGAGAGAGCTTTCGGCACATGACAACAAAAAGGTTAGCCGTCACTGGCCTAGCCTCTTCAGGCTTCTGCTTGAGGGTGTTTTCCTATAGCAGAAAGACTGGGGGATGCTTTCTGCATTTATTAAGGAGAATATTTATCCTTTAGGGGAAATATTCTATTCTGCCTCTTTTAATATTCTGTAGAAAATTTTGTTCCGGGGAGGTAGGACTTCCCATAGTATTTTCATAATATATATATATATATATATAAAGCGATTGTGCAATTCATCTATTCTGATCACAGAATTGTAAATATATTGCTTTAGGTTTTTGTGGGGGGGATAATTATAAATATATAATTTTAGCAGTGCATCTGCATTTCAGATCCTTTGATTATTTGACTGCAGCCTATTATCTGCCTCTGAAAAAGAATGATTTATATTAAACCAATCCTCTTTCCTTGTAAAAATGTGAAGCTATCTTCCCTCTGTGCCCAGCTAAAATCACTCATAGGTGTTTACTGAATTATGGAGCGGAGTGATGCCTCAGTTCAAACTACGCTGGCTGGCTGGCTGCCTGCCTCCGGATACTCTGCACACATGTTGGGAACAAGATCAGTTGGGTATAATGGTAAAACCACTGGCCTTCTAACCAGTTTATAGTGAGTTCTAGGCCTGCCTTAAGAAGCATGAAAGGCAGCCGGTCAATTCCTCTCATCCCAATCCACATCACAGGATTGTTGCGAAGAAAGTAGAAGGCTGAATATTGTGTATGTTTTCCACCTTGACTTATATATTCAAAAGGTGGATAAAAATGTAACAATAACAACACTTGTCTGCAAACAGGAACTGATAAGAGCACCAAATAGACAAATAGTAGAAAATGAAGAGATTAATCTGCACTGACACTTTAGAATTAAAATAAACAAGCACCTGCCACATAACAGTTTATGTTAACAATTATCGATAAGACAAAATTCACGAATGAAGGCGAATATATGTGTCCCAGGATAATGTTGAAGGATCCAATTTGGGTCACTCACCAGGACCAGAAGTTTTGTCTCCTGAGCTTTCGGACTCGTGCTGGAGCCCATCTTCAGGGAACTTCTCTCCAGCCTAGGCTAGAGTCCGAAAGCTCAGAAGACAAAACCTCTGGTCCCAGTGACTGACCCAGATTGGCTCCTTCAACAAAAAAGTCTGGCTAGTAGACATTGTAGTACCTGGAAACAGCAGAAGTAAAGAGAAAAAAGGTGCAGAAAAATCACAAAATATAAAGATATGCAAACAGAACAATTGTAGCCAAAGAAAGCAAAGATAGTGCTCATAATAATAGGTACCATGGGTGCAATCCCAAAACATCTGTTGCACCACTTCAGCACCATCAGCATTGACAAACCACTATTAGTTAATTGCAAAAGGCAGCTTTGCTTGGACCAACCATGACCTGGATGATTAAGAATCTCAATAGATATTCCACTAGGATACTAACCTAAAAGTCTAATATGAGTTGCAATTGTCTGTCTTCAATTTGTAACAATAATTGAGTTTTTAATCTCTGGGAAGAACTGATGTATTTCTTTACCTCTCTCATTCAGGGACAACTTTGCTATTGTTGATCGCCTATTTCTTCCAAGACTGCTGGCAAAACATATTTGCTGAGATCCTGCGCTTTGCAGACCGTTCTTTCTACAAGGTGATAACAAGGGGTGGCAGAGGTTGCAAGAAAGATATGTAGAGTCTGGATTTCATTGGCCATGAAGAACAGTTTGAAAAACTTCGCACAGAGTTCTGAGAGGTTATGACTCTGAAAGAGAAGCAAATTTTATCTTCCTAAAACAACTGTACTGAAGAAGCTGACATTAATTGTTATCTGATTAATTGTTATCAAAGTAATAAATACAGGTGGTCCCTCATTTAGCAACTGGGTGCAGTTACAACTTGATGATAAAGTAAAGTTCTGATCAAATCTCACATTTACAGCCTCTGCAGGTCTGTAAAGCAAAACAAAGTAGAACTAAGATTGCAAGCATTGTTTTTTCCATACTAATTGTTTTAATGGGCTTGTAAATTTTTTAATTTTTGCTTTTATCATATGGCACCAGAGTGCCTTTAGGTGAGATAGGCAACCATCTAAATTTGGCAATAAATAAATTAGGCAAATAACATAACTGTTTCACTTAATGACCGCTTAACAACTTTGTTGCTGCTCCCAATTGTGGTCACTAAATGAAGACTGCCTGTAGAAACATGTATGTTTAGGGATTATAAGAGAGATCAAATAACATGTTCTGAAAGATTTTGCAAGACCCCACATGGTGGTTCATTCATGTCTTCTCAATGGCTGAAATCTAACTTTTCATGTCCCCCTTGACCCTCCCCTATCCTTGATCTCACCCCTTCCCTAACACCCTGTGCATCTCCTTGCTCTCCCACACCTGACAGTAGCCACTTACCTGCCTGTTTGGGAGTTGCAATTTCCCACTGGTTTCCCCACTGACTTAGTGATGGAAATCCTAATCCTGATTGCTCTTGTAACTCAAGGACAACCTGTACACAGACAAGCTAAGATAGATTGTCTCTTTCCTTGCCAAAATATAGTGATGTTCCCGTTTCAAGCCTGGCATTTCTATGTTTTTCATGCTCTTTATTTCATTCTCCTTGCCTAGGACTGGTGGAATACCACATCATTCTCTACATTCTTTCGGTCATGGAATGTGATTGTACACGACTGGCTGTACTGCTATATTTATCAAGATTTTCTGTGGGTAGGTAAGGCTGTAATGGGCTGTGAGAATAATTTTGGGGGGCAGGAGGAAGAACTGCAGCCAGGACAATGGTCAAAAGGAGATGTCTCAGCTCGGAGCAGGAATGGGGGTACAATAACATCTCAGGAGGGATTCTTCCTTGTGGTTCAGAAAATAAAGGTCGGGAATGGGGGAAGTGCTTTCAGACTTGCAAGATTCTATTTCTGTAACCTTGCAATAAAAGTACTATTATTGGTTTACTGTCTGGACTACCTGAAAGGGCTGACAAGATTACCAGACCCACCCTATGTTACCCCATAAAGTAAACCAGCCGTGTGTAATTTCTCGGATGCCTATCTTCATTGTTTATTGGTGAACACCAAGATGAGGTCTATAACTCACCTGTGCTCCTTCTCTTCCAGTTGACTGGAGGGAGAGGGAGACGAGCTGGAGCTATGCTCATCGTCTTTTTGTCAGCGGTTTTCCATGAATACGTAGCCACCTTGTCCTTTGGCTTCTTCTATCCTGTCATGTTTGTGCTTTTTGTCATGCCTGGAGGTTAGTACTGCCTCAGGAAATGGACTGAACCTTTCCTCAGAAGATTCAAGCAAGGCCCATTAAAAAATAATGTGACATGGATTGCTCCTGGTGAACCTTCTTTCATTCTGTTCTACCCTCCTTTGGTTTGGGGTTTCTACACTTGAAAAGCAAGACCAGAAACAAAACTAATAACTGGAAAACAAAATTTTGTTATTTCAGAAGTCCAATTACATTTCCAAAACAGATGCTTTAGTCACAATTAGGACACAGATAGAAGAGCAACAGGAAAATAGCCTAGGCCTTGGTTCTAGGTTCTAGGAGCAGAGAGTTCCACCTGCAAGGGCATTGCTTTGAGAATTCTATTTCCCAAATTATTTTACCTCCATGGGAGAAGGGATGGGGCACATTGACTTGTAATTAAAATGGAAATTGCTGTTATTTTAGTTTTGGTAATGAGGAAAGTTCTTATTGTAGATAAGAGTTATTAGAAATCAGTAACTGAGAGATCTCCTTGGCTCAGTGTGGCTGGAATATACACAACAAACCCCTTTTTTTGTTTGTCTTTATAGTGTTCTTTAACTTTGTTCTCAATGATAAAAGAAAAGGCCCTTTCTGGAACATCATCATGTGGATATGCCTCGCTTTGGGCTCAACAATTATTTTCTCCTTATTATTCCAAGAGTGGTTTGCTCAGGTCCACTGTCCACTCAAGGAGGTGAGTAGGCAGTTTACCTTGTGGAGATAGAATAAGTCTTGGATTCCGTCTTTATACCATTTTTCATTAATGAAAATATCTTTCTTCCAAGAGGGTCAAGCCTACTAACTGGTATATATTCCATCTGCTAAAATTAAGGTAAAGAAGGTGGGGAATTCAGAAACACCAGGAACTTGCAAATGAAATTGTTATAAAGCTAAGAGCTGATTCTAATATAGTCTGTACCTATATATCTTTATCTTTATCTTTATTCAAATTTCTATACTGTCCTTCTCCTTTCGGACTCAGGGCGGTGAACAGCCAAAAAATAAAACATTTATATACAAAAGTTAAAATAAATTTAAAATAATTAAATAAATTTGGCCCATTAATTTAAAACATTCCAATTAAAACCATATCAAAATTATTTAAAACCAATCATAAAATCAGGACAGCCCGGCTAACTGAAAAAAATAGGTTTTGAGAGCCCGACGAAAAGTCGGAGGTCTGGGATCACTCGTATCTCTGGGAGTAGATTGTTCCAGAGGGTGGGTGCTTACCACAGAGAAGGCTCTCCCCTGGGGGTCGCCAGCCGACATTGCCTGGCTGACGGCACCTGAGGAGGCCTCTCAGTGGGAGCGAACTGGCCGGTGGGAGGCAATTGGTGGCAGGAGGCGGTCCCATAGATACCCTGGCCCTAAGTATCTACAGTATCCCGTAGATACCCCGGCCCCGGCCTTAATATATACTTATTAAGTAATTTGACAGACTGACCGACCGACTGACCAGTTGATTTGCGCCATTAAGCTGGTTTGATTCCTAGTTACAACATAAATAGATCTTCTCCATGTTGATCTATGCCTACTTGTTCTTTCAAGTCTCCCTATAGTGCAGTCATAGCCAGTATAACTCCATCCACTTTGCTGCTGGTCATCCTTCTCTTCTGTTTCCTTCCTTCTTTTCCAATGTTCTTTATTCCTAGCCTTATTACCTGTATCTATGCTATACATATAAATATGTATTTTATTTTTAACCTGCTTTTATTTCTGGTCAATTCAAGGTGCTACACATATCTAATGCTCCTGTTTCCTATTTTCTCAACAACAAACCTGTGAGGTGGGCTGGGCTGAAAGAGGGTGACTGGCCCCAAGTCACTCAGCTTACTTTCATCCCTAAGGGAAGCCTAGAATTCACAGTCTCCTAGGATAGGATAGGATAGGATAGGATAGGATAGGATAGGATAGGATATGATAGGATAGGATAGGATAGGATAGGGAATAGGACAGGACAGGACAGGACAGAACAGGACAGGACAGGACAGGACAGAATTCTTTATTGGCCAAGTGTGATTAGACACACAAGGAATTTGTCTTGGTGCATACGCTGTCAGTGTACATAAAAGAAAAGATACGGAGATGCTTTGATAGACTTCCGGTGGTGCTGTTGGGGCGGTGCAGAAGGAAAAGGACGAGCTCCGTCCTTTACCTCTGATTTTTCCGCAATTGGGGACCCTCGAAGGCACGTGGAGCTTGTCTTGTGTGGAATATTGACAAGACAGATAAATTATAGAAAATGATTAATGACTTAGAAATAGAAATTCCCCCTTTTCTTCCTTTGAATAATTTTGTTGGTTTTTGTTTTGATATTTGATATTGTTCCTTGGTAAGATTATATCTAAAAATATATAGATTAAGTGTTATTAGTATTATTAATAATTATTGATTATTTAGATTATGGTGAAGAAATCAGATTCAACAGAGAAATAGTTATAAATTTTATAATTTCTTGTAAATTAAATATTTAAGAGTAGAAATACCTATTATATCAATTATATATCATATAATATAGTTCAACTTACTATAAGTAAGTAATTAACTAAGCAATTAATTTGTAACTGGATTGTAATTATATTGTACTGTATCTCTATGTTGGGTTATTGATATATAATTGTAAATCTCTGATTAAGTAATTAAGGATAATACAATAGAAACTAGAGCGTAAAATATATATAAACTATAAATAATAGATAAGCAACTCAGTGACAACAGTGGATGGTAATTTGGGCAAAAATGTATAATATTCTGGGAGAACAAAGCAGAATCTTAAAAGAAATGACTAGTATTACTACCACAACCTTAAGAGCAGAGAAAAAGGTGGCATCAAATCCAACGGTGGTGATGGCCTCCCTGTCGAGCCAGAAAACAATAGACATGATGCTCCCGGTAGAAAAACCTAATACTAACTTATCAGTTGAAATGATGCAATCTACACTGGTTACAATACAGGACACCATGATGAAACTTCAAGAGACAATGGTTAAAAATCATGGTGACCTGAAATTGGATATACAAACATTAGATACCAAAATGGATTCAATTCAACAGGCAATGCAAAAAAATGGACAAAGAATTAAATCAGTTGAAATGAAAACAGAACAAACTGGAAAAAAAATTAGAACAGGTAGACCAAAAATGATCAGTCGAAAAAGGAAAAAGATACTTTCAAAATTAATGAAACAGAATGTAGATATAATATGTCTCCAAGAGGTACATATTAGAAAACAAGAAAAGAAATACCTGGAATACAATAAATTAGGGAACTTGTTTGCAGCATTATCAGAAAAAAGGAAGAAAAGGGTAGTGGTATATGTCAGAAAAGAAATAATAGCTAAAGTAATTT